ATTGCCAGGCCTTTCAAAACCACATGGAGTGCCAACCTTGCCTGGTCCCAGCAGGTCTACTGAATAAACCTAACCCTTACCTGAATACCACGTGCGTGCTGGTGCTGTTCTTACTCGGCTACCTCTTTTTAAAAACCTAACAATGATAATGTGAATAATGTAGACAGAGTTGCCAACAAATGGATGAAATTAATTTATAAATTTAGAAAAAGGGCAATTTTTTGAGGCTTTGGTATAACATGGTATGAAGAGAATAATTGTGTGACATCTTCTTTCTTCCACCTGTATGTAACACAGGAAGCAATTTCCTTAATTACGTGCCTCTGTATACAATGAGAAAAATGCTAGATTTGGGATTTGTTTTATTTTTGTTTTTGTTTTATTGTTTTGTCCTAGGGCTTGAACTCTGGGACTAGACACTCTCTCTGATCCTGTTTATTATCAAGGCTCGTGCCCTACCACTTCAATCTCAGCTCACTTTTGTCTGGCTATTGCTGAGAAGTTTATTGGAGAAAAGAATCTAGGGAACCTTCCTGCCTGGGTGGTGTAGTAGGAAGACCCCCCTACTCAGGCAGGCAAGCCCACCTAGTCATCCGGAGTGACAGAGCCCACCGCAACAAAGTTGTTATTAAAGAAGCAACTTTATTGAGAAGGTTCCTACACTGTGGCAAGGGCCACAGCACAGGCTGGGGAGCTGATACTGCGACCCCCAGCGGCCCACGTGCTTAGGTTTTTAAAGGTAAAAATCACAAGGTGAAGCCTGGTCACGTAGGTGACCAATGAGATTTTCAAGCACCCAAAAGATTGCAGTCATACCAGACCACACGCAAGTGGCCAATGAGGTTACACTTTGTCATATAATGGCTGCTTAAACCAGCCTATCACTTTTGGTTTAAATGACTCATGAATTCAATGGTAAAGCAGAGCTTAAGGTAAACATACACAAGGAGTTTAGTGGAGTTTAACATAAGCATGTGAAAAAGGCAGAGATTATAGTAAACTAGGGATGTTGCCAGCATGCCAGCATGAGCTGGATTACTGGCTATCGGTTTAATCAGTCAGTCCTTAACAGAACAAAGGTGGGTTAAGTTGCTAAGGGGAGGGGGACTTAGAGGCATTCTTTTCATTCCAAGAACTGGGCTGGTTGGAGCCAAGGATTTTGTTTTTTTTCTATAATCCCTAAAACAAAAACAAAACCTGTAAAGAAGCTGTCCCAGCTCAAGTCTCCACTCAGGGCCTAGTTCAGTGGGCTTTGAAATGTAATCTTCCAACCTTAGTATCCTGATTAAGCATGATTGTTAAAAAAGTATAAATATAAATAATATTTGCAAGAATACCAGTGGAGGAAAAATGATGCAACCCAGTTTATTGTGGTGTTCTTTCCAGAACACGGAGGGTATCACATTAGCAGAGGTGCAGTGTATTTTCACAATGGAGATCAGCTATTCTTAATGTGAATTAAGGGAATTTTGAGGTGCACCCTGCAAGTTGGAAACTGTTGGTCTAGGATGACTTTATGGCATAAATCTTGTGATTGATGGTCATAGAAATAATAGCTTAATCTGAGAAACAACTGCTAATCTTGAAGAATTAATTATAACATGCTTCATAGTTTTATCCTATACTAGAATGAGGCTCTTTTTGTTCACTTCTCAGTCTGTAACACCCCATTGGAAAATGCAACTATTGCAGAATTACATAACATGCAAACAGGTATATTTTGAATCTCTCAGGTATGGAATGTTCAGAATTTGAAAATGAGTAGTTATTAATCATAGGAATTTTGAAGAACACATACATTCTATACTCTTAACAACTTATTTACTTTTAAAAGTTATGGGTTTCCATAGAATTAAACTGTTTTCTGTTTTAGTATAAGAAAGTACTAAATTTATTCTATTTTCAAAATATTGGCAAGTATATTGTGAAAAAATTGTCTAGCTGGATATCATTCAAGTTGATTACCCTCTGATAAAGAAGAGGTAAATAATTGAAATTGGATGCCAAATAATACTGATTTTTAAAAAGTTACTACATAAAGAATAATATTTACAATACCAAAACAGTAAAATTTTATTTTATCAGCTTATTTTTTAAATTTAATTTTAATGTGAAAATGATGTGCAGTGGGGTTACAGCCATTGTAAGGTAGTGAATACATAAATTTTCAAACTTGTTATCCCCTCTCTAATTTTTCTCACAATTTTTCCTTCACCCCAATATCCCTCACAAATTGTAATGTACATTTCCAACTTTTTGTCTTGTGAGTATTGCTATTGCATTGGTTTGCCCTTTGTCCTTTGTCTCGCCATTTTGTTGTTTTTGTTCCTTTCCCTAATTAATGTAAATGTATGCACAATACACAGGGTACCAAAATCAAGCACAGCAGAGGATAAACCATAGGGGAATATCTCAAAGAAAATAGAAATCACATCGTACAGCAAAAACAACAACCACAAATAAATATCTCTCCATATCTTGGAGTTCATTTCGCTCAGCATCAGCTTATATGGTCATATATATGCATAACAAAGCCACTGGAAAATAATAGTTTCATGGCCACTATATCATGAAAACACATGTTAACTGTTTTTGATGGTAAAGGTAGAATTAGAATTGGTGAATTCACGATTCTGATAAAGGAATTTCAAAAGAGTTTTAAATTTTATGACAGGTAAATTTTAATTGTTCAAACTTTTTAACAACTTAGCCTATCAAGAAAATTTAAAATTGCCTGAGAAAATGGGCTTTCATGCAAAGAAATCCATGGAGACCTAGCTGAGAGGGAGCAATGTGGGTGAATACGGCTTATTTTCACACTAAACAAACAAACCTCACAAACCTTGAAGTAAATCCTTTACGTTCCCTTGAGAATTGTCCTTACCCAGGAAATGTACACTCAATGTGTGAAACAAGGTTGCAATGGAATTTAAATTCAAAGTTCTTTAAAAAAAAAAACATCAAAATTTGTGAATTGACATTTAATTACCAAACAGTAATTCTCTGAAAAAGAAGGAAAGATATAATTCAAAATCACTTGACGTTATTAAAAGTATGAGAAAAGAGTAGTTAAGAGAGATGAGAGAAACCATAGAGGACTGTTTTCTCTCCAGTGGTGTAATGGGTTCTTGATCTTGGTGCTTCCATTCTATCTTCACAAGCTATCAAGTGTGGCTGAGGATTGGAGTAACCAGTTCAGACAAAGAACACTCACAGAAGAAAATATTTGCAGTATATGTAGATGATTTATAACCTTTGACAATCTATTTATATCTGTTCAAAATTCTCCCCTACACCAAACTGCATTCTTTGAACAGCTTTGTTTGCTTTTCTAAAGACTGCCCTTCATTAACTGCTTAAAATTTTGTGAGGTCATATACATACACTATAGATATTGCTGTTTGGTTTTGATTTTTGTGTGTTTTTGTTTGTAGTTGTGTTTTTAACTGAATTTCAAAAGGTTGTGCAAGTGTGTTACAATTAAATATGTCCATCTAATTGTCAAATGCTCCTGGATCAGAGTCACTCCTTCTATCAATCAGAAGCAACCCTTTCTCCAAAATTTATTTCAGATTTACCGCTTCCTTTATTACTTGTGTACATTGAGTATTCTAGCTGTACTTGTCTTGCCCTTGTTATCTGATGATGCAGATAACTGGGACCTGGTATCCTCAGACCCGTGGGTACTACAGAAGAATAATAGCTTTTACACATCATATCAGAAAAATTTGGGTATAATCAGTAAGAATGTTTCAGAAACATGGAGAAAAACACTTTGGGTCCAGCGAGTTAACACAATAAACACAGCAGCAGTGTAAAATATCTTATAGATTAGAGGAAAACAATACTGTTTTTTTTACTATGTGAATTCGGAAGACCTAGAACACGTAGAAGGTATCACAAGTTTATAACGAAGACATTGCTTTGATACTTTTTATATTCTAATATATATTCTAAACCAAATTATTTATATTCCAATTTATTTATGGAAATAAATTTCAATTTATTTGTCAAATTATCAATTAATTCTAGTAATTCAAGAAATTTAAGATCAGCAGATAGAAATATAAAATATATAAGTATTTATAATATAGGAAATTGTTATGCATTGTTCTGTTGTGATTAGGGTATCAAAGGCAACTCTGTTTTAAAGTAATATTACATTATCTCTACCTCAGTTTTTGGTAGAGTTAGACCTAAAACTTTACCATTTGTAAGCCTGGAGGCAAGAGGAAACACTGTGATAAAACATTAATAATTTAAGGCCTAATATCGAGGAGAAACCTATGGACTTCTCCAGGAGCTATGGAAATATTTGGTGATAGAAAGTCAGTAGTGTAAGTTCCTGCCTGGTTGGATGGTAGACAGACCAGGATATTAGGTAATCATGCATATGAACAAGTTTTTCATCTTCTTGACTTTAGCTACTTTTGAAATGATAGGTATAATAAACAATTATATTTTGATAAAATACCTTCTATTCTGAACATTTCAGTCTGAACTGTTAATCTCTCTATGAACCCTTGTAGCTAAGATTAGTTTTGTTCCAGTCAGACAATCTATGCTGTCAGGGTAAGATATTCTCGTTGGTCTGTTCCTACATGGAAGAAGGGTAAAGGGTCAGGAAGACATTTGTGCCAGTGAGACTTCTTTGCGAAATTTTAAGCTGCAGAAGTTTAGAAGTAGCTCTTAAGCAAGGCTTGCTTTGAATCCATTAGCTCCACAAAGCTAACTCAGTTGATAAGTAAGTACTTGAAAAGCCATCACCTTTGGACTTAGCTATAAAGGCTTCAAAATATGATCAAATTAAAAATGAAAACGACAACATAGTCATTGACAAAAATTGCAAATGTGAGCAATCAACCAAACAATATAAGTTTTTGCCACTATACACAGAAATTTAGAGAAATACGATCAATAGCATTTTATGAACAATAAGGGTTCTTTGTTACAAATAGGCAACCAAGGATATATGCCTGTATAAAGATTGCATCATTAAGTACTTAAATTTAGAGGATACTACCCAAATGACAACAATACAGAGATTAACATGGCACTTGCAGAAGGATGATACAAAAATTCGTGAAATATTTTTCATTCTTCAAATGCAAGAAATGAAAAACAGTTATTAAAAAGTTGATTACAAAAATACAAGTGTAACAATACATGTAATTCATAGAATTAAAGGTTAGTTTGACATCAGTGTATTAAATCTTCACTTTAGAAAGGCCCTTACATAGCATATCCTTTACAAAACTTGAAATTAGATAGGAATCTTAACTTTTTCTATATGGAATGTAATCTGAAAGGACACATTTATTAATGAACCTATATATTATAAAAAAAAATGTAGACCTCAAAGTATTATATCTAGAAGATAATGAAATAGATTATGGACTTTATACAAACCTAGATATACTTTTTTTCAGACAAGCACCAGGAATAACTTTAGTTTCTATACTATTCATTTCAACAGATAAGTTAAAATTAAAAAAAAAAAAAGACAAACTCTGCAGAAATCATTATGGATGCATACAAACAACTCTTGAATACATTTTGACATCAAAGTGAGGCAATTCACATGGAAGAATACCATGGAATCCATGAATTTTTAAATTAAGATATTGCTGTTGCTTTTTATTATGAAAATATTTGTAGAGACACAAAGGATGGAATGGCACTTTTGAAATTTAAGAAACTTAACCAAACCATTACTACGTAGGAGAATAATTTGTACAGCCTTCCACAACTTCAAAGAGGTAGTGATACATACTTATCCTTTTGGCAATATCAAATGCAGTTTCTTCCAAGTTATTCTTCAGACCCGGTTTGAAAAAATGATTCAACAGAAGGAGATACAGCATATCTTTGCTATTTCTGTTCCCTGCAGCAAGATGCAAGGTGGTCAAGAGGCCTTTAGTTTGGGGATTGGTATCTGCATCATGATGAAGTAAGGAAGAATACATTCTGGTATTAATCCACATATATGTACTATGCAGGGGTGCCAAGCCATTCACAGTTATTGCATGAATATCTGCCTTGAGCTCCCAACTCATGGACAATGTTTACATGTCCACTCTAGGCTTCCCGATGAAGAAGAGTATACTTATCCTCATCCCTGGTATTCATATGCGTGGCTTTTTGAAAAGTAGTCTCCGCACTGCAGTAAGCCCAAAGAAGAAATTTGCTTGCATTCTTCTCCATTATTTTCTTGCAATTGATACCATTCCTCATGTTTTCATCTAGTTGATTATCTTCATCAGAATTGCCTAACCAGAGACTTTGAGTACCAGTGGGAATGAGGTGTCCATGTATTTCCCCAATAGTTCACATTGGTTGAATTGGTCAGAAAAATCTGGTGAATTTCCTGCATGTTTTTTCACCATGATTTATTTTCTCGTTTTTCATTTTTACTATTTTAAATTATTCTAACTGGAGAGAAGGTAATTGATAGAGAGTAGAGGAAAGACATTCCTTTGTATTCAAATGCATAGACTGAAAATTAGGACCAGTGGTGTCTTCATGTGAAGCTTATTCTAGGAATAAGAAAATAGGAAACAATGCCTTCTACGTAAATGATTTGAGAAATACAATGATATAGTGTAAGAGAAGTTACTATTCACAATATGAGCTTTAAGAGCTTTCTAATACATCCATTATTTATTGGTACACAACATTTGAAAAAAATGTATAATGCAGTAGTAAAATAGAAGTCCTTTGCATGACTACTTAAATACCTTGTATTTTTTGTTTTTGTTTTTTTTGTTTTTGTTTTTTATTGTGAAAATACTGTACTGAGGGGTTACAATTACATGGGCAAGATAGTGAGTACATTTCTTATCATTGTAGCCTCCTCCTTTGTTTACCTTTCCCATCCCTTCCCAGCCTCCCCTATTCCCCCCACCGAATCTTCCCCCCACCCCCACCAAAGTTGTAAAGTTCATTTTCAACGTGAAAACATGTACTTATCATTGTGGCAACGGGTCCACTTGTATCCTTATTTAAATGACTAGTTTTTCCCCTCCTCCTACACAAATTATACCTACATCAAAAATAGTGAAAGCAGGGGTTATACTATGGGGGAGGGACATACAAAGAAACAAAGAAATAATCTTATAAATACGTTAGAAAAAAATGCATGAAAGAAAAAAATTTAAATACATATCTTAGGGTTCATTTTCCTAACTTCACCTGATCTGACCTTTTCTGCTTGACTCATACATATACTAGATATTCCAAATAAGGGAAACCAAGGGACTATGGGAAACTATGTTTCTTTGGGCTTGGATTACTTCACTTAATATAATCTTTTCCAAGTCTTTCCATTTCTTAACAAATGAGGTAATGTCATTCTTTCTGATGGAGGCATAGCATTCCATTGTGTATAATTACCACATTTTCTTGATCCATTCATCTACTGAGGGGCATCTGGGTGGGTTCCATATCTTAGCTATGGTAAATAAGGCTGCAATAAACATAGTTGTACTGGCAGCTTTAGTGTGGTCTTGTTTGTAAACATTTGGGTAAATGCCCAAAAGTGGGATTGCTGGGTCATAGGGGAGCTCTATGTGGAGTCTTTTGAGGAACCTCCATACTGCTTTCCAAAGTGGTTGAACAAGTTTAAACTCCCACAAACAATGAAGTATGGTTCCCTACTGTCCACACCCCTCCAGCATCTGTTGTTATTAGAGTTCTTGATTTTTGCCATTCTAACTGGGGTGAGGTGGTATCTCAATGTTGTTTTGATTTGCATTTCTTTTATGGCTAGGGAGGTTGAGCATTTCTTCATTTGTCTATTGGCTATCCATCTTGCTTCTTCAGAGAAGTTTCTCTTTAAGTCTTTAGCCCACTTATTTATTGGGCAGTTGTTTCTTTGAGGATTTGTTGTTGAGGGATTTAATTTTTTGAGTTCCAAGTATATTTTAGATAGGAGACCCTTGTCCGTTGTATAGCTAATGAAGATCTTCTCCCAATCCGTAGGCTTTCTATTGATCTTCCTAGCTATGTCCTCTGCCATGCAGAAGCTCTGCAACTTCATGCAATCCCATTTTCTCAATCTTTCTTTGATTTCTTGTGTTTCTGGGTCTCTATTAAGAAAATGTTGGCCTACGCCAAAAAGACCTAGGGTTTCTCATATTCCATCCTGTAATGTTTTCAGAGTATCTGCTTTGACTCTGAGGTCTTTGATCCATTTGGAGTTGATTCTGGTACAGGGTGATAGATAAGGATCTAGCTTTAGTTTTCTACAAGTAGTTAACCAATTTTGAAAGCACCATTTAGTGAAGAGGCTGTCTTTCATCCATTCTAATTTTTTAGCTCCCTTTTGAAAGATTAGATGGCTATAGGTCTGTAGGTTCATTTCTGGGATTTCAATTCTATTCCATTGGTCCTGAGGTCTGTTCTTGTGCCAGTACTAAGCTGTTTTTATTACTATGGCTTTATAGTAGAGTTTGATATTTGGTATTGATATTCCTCAAGCAGTGTTTTTTCCGTTGAGGAGCGTTTTTGCTATTCGGGGTCTTTTATTGTTCCATATGGATTTTTGGATTGCCTCTTCTATTTCCTTGTGGAATGAGGTTGGAATTTTGATAGCTATCGCATTGAATTTGTAGATAGCCTTGGGAATTATTGCCATTTTCACGATGTTAATCTTTCCAATCCAGGAGCATGGGAGTTTTTGCCATTTTCTAAGTTCTGTTTTGATTTCCTTTTTCAAGTTTTTAAAGTTTTCATCATAGAGGTCCTTCACTTCTTTGGTTAAGTTAATTCCTAGGTGTTTTATTTTTTGTGGGGCTATTACAAATGGAGTTGCTTTCGTAATTTCAGCCCCACTTTTCTCATTGTTGGCATACAGAAAAGCCATTGTTTCTTGGGGTGAATTTTATATCCTGCTACTTTGCCAACGTTTTGAATCAGGTTGAGTAAATTGGGAATGGAGTCTGTAGGATTCTTTAAATACAAGATCATATCATCTGCAAAGAGGGAGAGGTTTATTTCTTCTTTCCCTATTTGGATCCCCTTTATGTCTGCATCTTTCCTTATTGCTGTAGCTAGGCATTCTAATAATAGGTTGAAGAGAAGTAGAGAGAGTGGACATCCTTGTCTTGTTCCTGAGTTAAGAGGAAATGGCTTCAGTTTTTCACCATTAAGGATTATGCTGGCTGTAGCTTCGTCATATACAGCCTTTATTGTATTGAGGAATGTTCCATGGATTCCCAATTTTTCCAAAACCTTCATCTTAAAGTGATGTTGGATCTTGTCGATGCTTTTTCTGAATCTACTGAGATAACCATGTGGTTCTTATCTTTGCTCCTTTTGATGTGATGAATAATATTAATTGATTTGCATATATTGAACCAGCTTTGCATCCCTGAAATGAATCCTGTCTGAACATGTGTATGATTTTTTGCGTGGATTGTTGAAGTCAATTGGCCAAAATTTTGTTGAGAAAATTTGCAACAGTGTTCATCAAAGATATGGGTGTATAGTACTCTTTCTTTGATGAGTCCTTGCCTGGTTTGGGGATGAGGGTTATGATTGCTTCATAGAATGTGTTCGGTAGTGAACTTTCTCTTTCAATTTTATTGAAGAATTGGAGGAGTATTGGTGTGAGCTCTGCTTTGAAGGCCTTGTAGAATTCCACTGTAAAACCATCTGGTACTGGACTTTTTTTTACTTGGGAGGTCTCTTATTGCTGTTTCTATTTCAATGCTTGATAGGAGCCTGTTAAGATGGTTTAACTCATCTTGGTTTAGTTTTGGCAAGTCAATATTTGCTAGGAAAATGTCCATTAATGCCAAGTTCCCAAACTTATTATCATAAAGATTTGAGAAGTATTTTCTGAATCTTGGTTGTTTTTGTGGTGATGTTTCCATTCTAATCTCTGAGTTTATTTATTTAGATCTGTTGTCTTCTTTTACTGATAAGATTTGATAAAAGTCTGTCAATTTTGTTAAGTTTTTCGAAGAACCAACTCTTAGTTTTGTTGATTCTTTCTATAGTTTTTTTGGATTCTAATTCATTTAATTCTGATTTAATTTTAATTATTTCTTTCTGTCTACTGGATTGGGGTTTATCTTGCTGCTCTTTTTCAAGGAGGTTC